ACACCTGGGCAGTGTTTGAGACTTTGAGTTGACAGGGGTAAGCGCATGTTGAATTTTCGGTCAGCTATGGGTTACTCCCGAATTAGTAGTAATGGCCAGGGACATTGCCTCAGTACTTGCAGTTTACAGGCATCCTCGATTTGACAGGGGTGTCGCATGCTGATTGTGTATGGTGCAGCTACGGGTTCCATCCGGATTAGCGATAACGACCGACCCTGATCTCCCATCCTGCGTTCGACAAGGTGTGAGTAGCGACCCAGAACATGTGTCCCAGGTATGCGGCGCTATGGCGTAAGCGTCCCGTCACCATGGCATGCCCGTTGTGCGTCCTTGGTGACTTACGGCTTGATGGCTCCTGACTGGACAGCTCCTGGCTGGGCGGCGCCTAGCTGTACGGCACCTGACTGGACGACTCCTGGCTGGACGGCCCCTAGCTTAATGCCTTCCTCTGGCTTGGAGATCATCGCCATGCCGGCGGACAGAAAAACGCCATAACGTCCAATGGCGTCGCGCTGGAGGATTTCCTCGCTGTGGCGCAATCGTCTCATTCTTGAGAAGCCTTTTGCCTATGGTTCAGGTCAAGGGCAAAGGCGAAAGAAGTGATACCCATGACATTCGGAACCCTTCAGGTGATGGCATGTTTTCTCACAGGTGAGGCTCTATCTGTCGAAGTCGTACGTTTACAGAAATCACTTGCAGTCTTCGAGTTCAGCACACGTGAAGCGGATTGTAATAAAGATCTTTTTCTTCAGTCGGGAGAGCCGACTAAATTCACGCCTGATAGTCGTAGACCTTTCGCTAGAAGAACACGAACGGAGTTACGAACATCATGTCTTGCATGTTCCATAAGTTTGTTTGACCAGACTTCAGCGTTAGCCCAGAATACGTAAGTTCTGAGAGCCTCACTTCACGCCCGTTCTCCAAAGGTTAGTACGTTTGCGCATACCCGAAGAAGCAAGTTCCGGGAATGCTCATAAGGTAAGCATCGTGACGGGGGATGTCGGATACAGTGCCTACCTAGGTAATATCGCCAGCATGGATATCGAGCGATGAGATTTGGTGAGATCACACGATGCAGCCCTAATCCGGAGGCGAGCGAATCGGAATGTTCAGCCGGAGACGGACGTTTCCATGGGCGTTTCCATGGGCGTTTTCACGGGCGCGAGGGCGTTGCGATATGATAATCGTTGCATCCCCCGCCAGTTTGACGGGGCTACAGACATCACTGGCTTCGTCATGCTACTCAACCCGAGGATACGTCATTAAGACTGTGGGAAATAGACGCCGACTGCCGCTGTCAAGGACTGGCAGGCCTGGGCAAACATTCGCCTTAGCTTCATTCCGGAAAAGTTGATGTACCTTTGCGAATTTGTGACGATAGCGCACAAAACCTTGGAAAGCATGCGCGAACTGATGCGAAATTATTGCTGGATTAAGAGCGACCACTGTAAAAGTCAACGAAATGCACGGCTTAATGTCTTGATTGTAGTGTATTATAGTAGATGCCGCAGATCTCGAAGCATAGACGGCTCAAGTCGAGTCTGAGATTCAAGGGTCGTTTGACTGTAGCGCCTCTAGGCACGAGAACAGAAGTGCAGTCAGAGGCTTGCTGAAGTCGCTGTCAAACGTTGTTGAGGACCCGGAAAGGTAAAGCGCGCGAAAAAGAAAAAGTGGAACGTAGTTTACCCTGCCACGTGCCTGCCGGCTCACCCTTTACCGGCTCCGATGGCGACCTGACCCAACTGGGATTGAACGCGCATTTCCGTCTGGAGATCGTGTCGGGCGCATCCGCATCTAGATTACCGCATCTGTTTCAGGGCGCAGGAAAGATTGGCGTAATACTCATGGGGTGTCACCTTCCGGAAATGTGTCTTTTGCATCCGATATGTTCTTGCTCGGTCAGTCCCACTGAGGCCATTCGAACGCTCTAAGCAACACAGGCCCCTAGCCTGTGGTGATCATGCAAGATCATGTAGGGGAAAGGCAAGGCCACGCAAGCGCGTATGCATAGCCTAAAAATAGAACAGGTTGATATTTGAGCGATTGAACCGAAGAACTCGAAAGTTTCAAAGTTCCAGCGTGTGCACTCACCGGCACCATAATCATCAATCCTGCTTGCAACGCTCTTTGAGATGATACTGGTATAAATCAAGCCTCGACTCGCTTTCGTAGAGTCATTGTGTTTCTGTTTAAGTTGTGAGCTCATCCTCTCTCATTTTCAAAAACTGGAAAACCCCGTGTTCTGATCTTTCTTCATGAGCTGCCCGCACGCAACCCCCGACAGCGGTGTCAGTGCGAACACCATTGCCGGCGTCGCTTACGGCGCAGTCTCCATCGCCATCGCATCGGCAAATCTCTTCTTCGAATATCGAAAATTTTGCAAAGCCAACCATCGAGGTATGTTTTCTGATGTTCATTGAAGAAAGGCGATGGCCCGGCCTGGACTAATCACTGATGAAGCAAGCGGAGCCAGCGACGTGGAGATCCAGTGTCGGATGGCCCCGGTGAATTAACGTGGTGTGTGAGGTCTCGTACTGCTTTTGTTGTTGCATGCGAAACTTTTGACCGGCATATAGAGTGGATTTTGAGGGTTTATTGCCACGCTCGAGTAAAGCAACAGAGTTGGTCGATTTACCAGGCGACGGGGTCGCATCACGCGTTGTCAATCAGCTGCGGTATGCGAAACATTTACCTAATGTAAAAAATGATTCCAGCACCATCTAGCGTCGACCTGTGTCTTCTCAGCATGAACGCATTTTAATGCATTTGCGTTGCTCTTTGGAGACATCGTACTTAGAGTGGGAATGGCACCTGGGCATGGTCCATTGGCTGGTCCCACCAGCCTTGTGTAAGCCACCCACTTTATGTCTCAGCGGCAGTCTGAACCCCGCTGCTTGGCAGCCTGATGTATCTGCAGCCTGCCCTCGTCGATAAACCGTATTCTCGGCGTTCGCGCATTCTCTGGTCGTGGACTAGATGACTTTGAAGACCGACCCTCATGGACACGACCGACGCTCACCTAGAAGAGGACAAAATCGACTGGACGACCTCCACAGGCAATGTGATTACACGCCTGCCCTGCAGCGGCTTCGCCGACTTCCTCTACTCGAATCGAACACCCAAAGACCCGGCCTCTGCGGACTTCTCTTTGCGCACCACTAGTAGCAATGTAGCAAGGGGTGCTGCCGCGGGTTGTAAGGGATGCGCGCTCATACATGATGCTGTCACAACTTTTAGACAGGACCGACTGCCATTGGATGATTGTGATGTTGCATTCACATGTAGAAACTATGCAATAGATTCCTCTTGTCTGAGGATCGCGTTCTTCCTTGAACCGGTCCGTAAAAGAGCAAAAGAGGAAGGCGCAGGTACCAGAAAAGAGCCAGTTACGGCGACCGATGCTGCGGAGGAGCATGTACGCCAGTACTTGGAGTGTGGGGTGTCAGTGCGGTTGGACTGGTCGAGGGGTAAGTGATCTGCCCACTAGCCACAATATTACGCCAACATTGTAGCATAGACTGACGAGTGGGTATCAGACACTATTAGTCCTAATGAGGGTTTATCTCTGAAATCACTAGCAGTTTCCCGACCACATTCGCATCTTCCTGATTGCACTTCTTCCAGCGAAACATCTCGAAGGTTAAACCAGTGGCTCGTCGCGTGCGCGGAAACACACCCAGAATGTCAAATCTCTTTGGAGACGGCGCTGCCAAAACGAGTGCTCGAGATAGAAGATTCACGTATCTATCTTCGAGAGGAAACACGGAAGAAGGGTAAGTATGCATGTCTCAGCCACTGCTGGGGTGCACAGGGCCTGTCATATAAGCTTGAACAATCTACTCACCAGCAACTTGCTGGCGGAGTTGCAGTGGATCAACTACCGAAAACGTTTCAAGATGCTGTATCTATCTGTACCAGTGTAGGTATTCGGTTCCTATGGATTGATGCTCTATGTAAGTAAGCGTTCTCACGGTTCATCGCGCATTACTGAACTTTCAGAAGGTATCAAGCAGGATGATGTGGAAGACTGGGCGGAGGCGGCGGCGACAATGGGCGATATCTACGAAGCGTCATGGATTACTGTCGCAGCTACTTGGTCAGACAGTAGCCAAAAAGGAATATACTCGACTGTTTCAGACCGTTTCAAAGCCAGAGCTTTGGAGAATCACGATTTCCAGGTACGAGAAGCCCTGCCGGGGTTCGCCGATGGGCGTCCAGTAACCCGAGATCAAGATAATTGGCCACTCCTGCGCAGAGCTTGGGTATTTCAAGAGCAACAGCTATCGCCACGCGTGGTTCATTTCGGTGAACATCAGATCTTCTGGGCATGCAACTCTTCGTTCCAGTCACAAGACGGGTGGTCTTACTCAAGATGGAACACTGGTCAAAAGAAAAGTCTCTCAGACTGGAATAGCATTGTGACTGAATATTCAGGATTGCAGCTTACATATGAGAGTGACCGCCTGCCAGCTATTGCTGCTATAGTCCTGCGCGTTATGCAGATCCGGCCACACGATACCTACATTGCAGGGATGTGGAAGAACACACTCATCCCAGATCTACTCTGGTGGACCATCAACTTGTATGCTCGACCTCGTTCTACATATAACATACCGACATGGTCTTGGGCCTCTGCATTTGGAAAGGTACATCATTACATCAGGGAAGGACCCTTTCAGCAGGTTGCGCAAGTACTGGACGTGACCTTTACATCCATAGGAATGCCTCACATGGGAAAAGTCAAAGATGCTAGTATCACGCTACGAGGACCCGCCTGCAGCCTTCCCAAATCAGTGCATCCAATCTTAGGGGAGAATGTTGCAGCCAAACTCTTGCAAGATACAGACGTCCCCTTGATCTTGGATATCCGATGCACTGTCTCCAGAGACTTCGATTGGCAAGCTGTTAATCCTCCCATAGGGTCCGAGCATGACTTGACCATCTTGTTCCTATGCGAAGAACTCGGCGACTCTGCGCGTGTGGGGCAGCATTTTGGCGGGATGGTTCTGAGAGCAGTCGAAAATGATGCCTTCGAACGGGTTGGGTTTGTCCGTATCTACCCAGATCCCGGTGAGTACGAATATCCTTCTTCTGAGGAAAGTAGCGACGAGGAAAGCAACGACGAAGAAAGCAGCGAGGAAGGTGCCGAAGCCGCCAAAGACGACGAGGATGGCGAAGATGACGAAAGGATGAATGGTAAGAACACAGCTCACAAAGGAGCTGTCTACTTTTCTGCAACTAGACCTCTCCTTGGTGCAGAAAGGGTTGAGGCCGATCATGTCGACAGCGAAGACGAGTCAAGCGGAAGTGATAGCGATGATGTAGTGTCTTCCTTTGTTCACGCGTTACCGGTGCAAACTTTCAGAATCATCTGATACCGTCGCTCACATCTGAGGGGACTATCTTTTGGGAGCGTCAATATCGCAACTCGCAGTAGATCATTACAGCCCGAATCTCTGCGTGTACTCTATGAGTGCCTAGAGTTGCTGCATGGGTCACTTTCTTCACCCAAGCTTGGAGCAAATCGCATGCCGGGACTACTGCTATTACTGAGCGGATACGTCGAGCGCAGGTGTCCAGGTTGTTTAGCATTCGATTATCAAGTCGTCAACGCTGTTATTGGGCGGCATCATCAGAAGAGTTGAGCCTCACGACCAGGTAGCCTGTCAGCTTGCTGTTGAGTGTGGCACTGCAGTTACACAAAGTCCGCCCTGCACATGCAGCAGTTCAGCCTGAGTCCGGGTTGACCGGCTGGTCCATGCGTGGACCTCCCCTTGTCATGTCAGATTCACGTTGTACGCGTTGCACAACTCACAGATGATCATCCTTATGGAAACATTGCGGAATTAGATTTATTCTTTTCTCTGCCTGCAGAGTTCTTACGATGGGCTCTGCTAAGTAGCCACCTATACAAGATAGAAGATTCGCAGGCGCTTGTAACAGTTGTTCTCAAGCGTTCTGCTTTGACTTGTGCGCCGAGAACACCCGTGGACGCCATAAGTGACATAACGAGGTATCGCGCATACCTATTCGCTACGACTGCGTTCATCATTCTGGTGGGTCTGCGAGAAGCCTCACTGCCTTCCTACCTACACAAAATAGTCAAAATTCTGCAGTGCGAGAGCGTCATGGTAAATCTGCCGCGTCCTAGTGCTGCGAACTAGTGAGGGGCCAAGTATATGCAGGACACCTGGGCAGTTACACAATGCGGCCGTCACTGTGGCCTTCCACTGCCGCTAAGCAGGGTCCTTTTGACTACATGGCATACAGCTCTTCGCAGCGTAGAATGATAAGAAGCTACCACACCATATTTGCACAGTATAATCCACACATCGCTAGTTCAGCTGCGCTAGTAGATAAGTAAAAGGAATAAGTTAGGATAATTACAAATGTATCCAAACAGCACGCGGCACGGTCAATTCAATGGGCCTAGCTTTAACCACGACAGTGCCGAGAACGGGGCCCTATATCCCAGGGCATAAGGCTGCATCTGTCGTCATATGTCAAACGGCTTCATGAGACATTTCTAGCATGACAAAAAGACATGCGAGGCGAACGTCAGGCTCTGGCACCGACTAGAACTCGAAAATTGAGCATTTCACCTAACCTGCTCAAGGTATCATCTACCTAGGTAGTTTGCCTATCGCACGAATGGATTTAGAGCTTTAATTACGTAGAGGTAGGCTTTGCTCTAAGCTGCGACTTTATACATAATCTTCTTTGGTTACAAACGAGCTATCTTATGGTTGAGGAGCGTCGTGTTGCGGCAGCGCACTATCAGCTTATTCCGGATGTTTAGACCGCGTTAGCGGCACGATGTCCTTGGGAAAGCGAAAACGTATGCGACTTGATGCGGTGCCATTGCTTTCAATACTTCTTTAGCAGGGTCAAGTATCTCTGGTGTCGGCGACAGCTAAATGTATGCCTAGGTAATCAACCCCGGCTTGTTACTCTTCGTGGAAGCTTTCGTGGACCCGGAACGGGGATCATTGACCAATCGCGATTCTGGCATCTATGTACGGGTGCACATCATCACCATCAGATTGTCATCCACTTAGACCTCTCGGGTTGACGCGTTGGGGTAGGTGCAGCCAAGTCGCAGCCGTACAGGTAGAGTGGGGGCATTTCGCTCGGAAGACTCGTCGCGATAGGCTCTTAGCGCCCGCCCACTGACTCGAGCCCTGTTACGCATCACGTTCGCAGCCAAACAACACTTTAGAAGACATGCCGATAACCGACTAACAATGCAAAGATCCTCCAGCTGCATTCCGCGGTCTAGCTTCATTTCCGGCTTGTTGGGCGCCAAGTGGCATGGATGCAGTCCTGTCTGACGGCAAGGCCTCTCGCCTTCATCTCCGAAGACGGCTTTGAAGGATTCGCATAATACAAGTGGCAGGTTCTCGTTGGCCGATGCGGCCTGCTGTAAGACAACCCTAGGATCATGTGGTAGCCGCTACTCAGCGAGGGAGAGCCTGGCGCACGCCGCATACATGATACGCTAGGAAGCGAAAGGACCATTTTCGTGTGGATACCATCCGCATGAGAGGCCTACGCGATCGCTCACAGCATAATTGCATGGCAGGTCTTTTGAGGCACAGAACAGCCCGCGTGACAACAGCTCGTCGTCACAGCCGCCCTGCTCTTGCTTGAACCCACGCTTTAACCGATGTTCCGACGCGCAGCCGATGTTCCGTCAGCCTGCCGTATATTGGACTGGTAACCGGCTAACAACTCAGCCAATGGGTTGTCAGCTGCGCGCTCAGGTCGTATCTCCTGCGTTTCATGCGTCTCTCACTGCAAACAGAAGTACTGACCGATCGTCACCGATGTAGGCCGTGTACCTTTGAACGGCGCCGTGTGTACCTGGTCTAGAATGCCGCAAATGAGCCGCTCTCTCATCGTCCGTAGACAAGCTATCTAGCTAGGATTGCAACTACAGAATGGCTCGAGAGAAGTAACTTGAAAGGGACGGAGTCGGGTGTTGTCTAGTTATCTTAATGGTGAGAGCAAACGCGAAGAAGAATCAATGAGGCGAAAATGTGCCGGGGCCCACCCAATCTATTACGGCAACGCCGCTGCGGCAGTCAGATGCGCCCGCCGGCCTCAACGGCTCGACACGTGGCCTGATTTCCGCCTGTGACAGACAAAGGACCAAAAATCGATTGCGACTAAGCAAGTATCGTATACACGTTAAGATAGCCGCCCGGCCAATACGCAAACGCAAATGCACAACTTGTGACTCATACCTCCCTTCCTCAGCAGGCATGTCTTACTCATGCCCGTTGCTTGTGTTGGCAATAACCAGAGACGACAAACGAAAGGTACGTGTTCCGCGTGGTCAGACCGGATGATACAGATGATAGTGGTTGTAATAGTCTGGAGCTTGAATTTGAGCAGCTGCGTCAGCCGGAGCAAGAGGATGCGGGTTTCTAGTGTTGAAGGGCTCCGGCATGAGTGCTTGCATCCCGTGCTGCGAATTGATGGGCTGGCGATAGGTGAGCTGCTGATTGGCGGCCTGATTCCAAGCAGGCTGATGTTGTGGACCCTGGTTCCCGTAGGGCCAAGCGAGATGTGAGGAGGCTCCGCCCGCATAGAGACCTTGATCGCTGTTCTGGTAGGCCCGTTCTCTATGATTGTTCTGCCCGCCGAAAAGTGAGGCTGGGCTCGATGCAGGAGTCGAGACAGATGAAAGAGCTCGGCCTCTGACAGTACGTCCCGATGACGGGTGGCTCGGTGGGTTCGTATGCTGGGCGAGAATGTGACCGGCAGCGGAGTTGATGTCGGAGAATGAAACCCCGCAGCGCCGATCAGGGCAGGTAGGGAAAGGACTACCCCAGCCGAGATCTGTTGAGTGCTCTCTAATAAGATGATTGCGCAGTGTCGTCTCACTTTTGTGGCCAGAAGTGCAGTTAACACATTCCCGTTCGAAAACACCTCGTTGTATGGTGTACTTATCATGGTTTGGTGAAGCCACAATCGAACTGCTACGGCTGATTGGCGTGCTCATAGCAGTGCCGGATAATTCCGCTTGGCCCGCAATAACTTCTCAATGTCAGTTCTGCTGGAGGGTGATGAACAGCTTCGCTTACCTAGCTCATCGAGCCAGCGCGAGATGGTTGTAGTAGCATTCATCGCGATTGTTCGCAACCGCTGCACGTCTTGCGAGGAGAGGCTTTCGTAGTGCCGCAATAGTCCGTGAATAGAGCGATTCGCATCATCAGAAGCGGCATAATCGTTTTCGTACCGGGTATTGTATATGTCATGCGTGTTGACAGCCTGGACTCCTGCTATGATACGTGTGTGGCTGCCCAGGCCACTTGCCCTGGCAGAAAGCATCGCATGCATCATCTCTCGCTGGAGAGCGGACGGAGCGCCACCGATCGTTTGCGATGCCATGGCTGATGAATACCAACGATTGGGCAACACTATAGGGTAGTGGTCATATATTGGTGTCGCGGGAAATATTGATAGCCGAGAGGCCTGCGTGTAGTTATATACTTCGGCGCTGGTGGATGTTGGCGACTCCTGGAGGCTAGACAGGAGAGTCTCTGAGAGTAAGTCGAAGGGCTTGTAAGGATGATGCCTTTCTTGTAATAATAGGTTTCATGGTGGCACTTGGCCTCGCACAGCAGATGACACTGTCGTACCTCTCGCATGGCAACTCGATTCTTAGCCTGCCATCGAACAGTACCGCAAAACAGTAAGACAGTACATCTCGCGTTGCGCTGTGGTACCAGGAATAATTCTCGTTGCTGCCGTTGCCAATGACTCTTCGTAGAATTAAAGACGCGGAAGCGTTCTCAAATGTATTCTAATGTTTGCAATAAGTTCTGCTGCGATTTGCGCTAGTAATGCGCTTCTTAACCTGGAGTTCGTGTTTCGTTCCGTTGTTTCTTGTCGAGTAGCCCTGCACGCCCGGGTGGGCACAAGAAACATCAGAATCCACGTGCAGTTATAATTTTCCAGTAGAACATCTTTTGATAGAAAAACTTTTGGAGATTTGCAAATCCCCTCAAGCATTTCATGCAGCTCCAATGTTCGTGCAAGAGAGCCGCCGGATATCACGTCCACGCTCAATCTCACGCCCGCCTCAATCCTAAGCCTGTCAACCAAACCGGGTAACGGGACTGAAGCAGGGTAACAACAATGTTACCTGGGTATCCTGAACGGATAGGGCGATGTCCGCTGTCGCAGCGTTGAGATGAAAAGACGCCACACTGCCCATGTGTGTGTGACGACTAGGCGCGTTGACTAGTGCGGGGTCGTGGGGCAGCGGGGCACATCTGGGCAGCATCGAGAACAGGTCAGTTATACTGCGTTAGTGCGAAACTTCCGAGGCCACTGAAAAAAACGAAGGTTTGTTCATGTCCAGGACTTCTGTGAAAAAAAAAAAACGCGCAATGTTTAGTCGAGGGTCGATGTTGTGCTTCGGTGTTTTGGCCGGATATGAACTGCTGTGTCCGACTCCAAAAAACGCGGTACCTAGGTATGCTTAACGGCGCTGCTGTGGACGGAAGCGCCACCCCGAAAATGCGGGTTGAGGCGTCGCATCCTGTTTTACATGATTCGCATGCAATTTTGTGTCGAATTTGACAAAACGATATAGGGCTCTGCCCTGGCGGTCGGCGTCTAATGCCTGTTTAGCCGGCTCTGTCTACCGCGGAAGCGCTGCCACACAAGTTGTTGGCACAATCCAAGAATCACCAGCTGCGCTTGTTTTCGTCGACAATGCGGCCAGTGTCGCACCGCGGGCTGCATTGTGGTTGATCGGTATGGCCACAAGGATCTTCCATGCTCAACATTTTCATGCAGCATTATTATGAATTGGCATGCAAAGCGAAATATCTCGCGTGCTCTTTTCCGATTGGAAAAACTTCTGACCAGGCCGTACATCGTGCCTTGTATTACTGAACGGCATGTCGCAACATCCTAATCGGCCGCTTCCGAGGATGCAGTTACATGCGACGATCATACGAGGCAGTATGAGTAACGTAGAGGATTGCTGTCCGGTGTAGAAAGAAGTGGAATGCAATCCTCTTTGCTGCCTAGCCGATAGACAACATGTGAAGCATCGCTGCGATGCCTCGCCATTCTTGCGGTCAAGCCACTTATAAAACGTGTTGAAGAACTGCTCTTGTCCAGACCAAAATGTGTTTTATCCTTCCGACAGAAATTCGCAGTTCATTCTTCTCGTATCCACCCATGCATTGCATCAGCGCAGACCCCATCACCCGTGTCGGCGGCGTAGACACGAACACCATCGTCAGTATCGTCTACGGCACGATCTCGATCCTCATCGCTTCAGCTCAGCTCTTTTTCGCGTATCAGAAGTACCATTCTGCGACACATGGAAGTGGACCCTCAAATCGAAATGCTTGGATCGAGCGTTTCCAAAGACACGTTATCAGTAAGCTCGCATCGTCTACTGTGTCTGGGCCGACTAATGATAGTGTCGAAGCATACTGCAGAGCGTAGATAACCGCACAAACAATATCTATGCAGAAGATTACGCAACTGCAACCATAGATGAAAACATTGGAAGGTTCTCAGGGGTACAAAAGATAGCGGCTAAACCGCGGTAGTACACTTTGTTTGTAGTATCAGTATCTCAGTCTCAAAAATACTGCTACAGTCCGAATTCCAGTACAGCGTGAGCTTCAGTACCTTTTCTACATCCGTGAACCGTCCCCTCCGCCTCACTTCTCAAGGTCTGGTCCAGTAAGAAGCTCATCTGAACGCTGCTCAATAGCTGGCAGCGCTGTAGCTCAAGCAGGTCGCTTAAATGGCAGTGGAAGCACATCCTCACATCGCTGAGCGGTGGCTGCTGCTTGCTCGACGCACTCGTGCCGTCAGTACTCCTCGGCGTAGCCCCAGTGCCTTTGCGCAATACTGAAGGTGTGCGCAACTCCGGCAACAATATGACCGCAAAGCCAGATATCAGCCATCTTCCGCTGGCGTCGAGACTGAGGATGAACGCGTTGTTTACGTCCGTAACGCCAGAGAACATGCAGATGCGGTCACCTGATCCTATCTCGTACAACCCTGGGCCTCCTCCGCAAGCAAATCCAGTAATACCGTTGGTGCCTACGAAGGACGTGTATCGTGCGTGTCGTTGGTCGGTGTTTCGCCGGGCCAGTTTACTTCTAGCGGCCAGGTATAGTGCCGCCGCGTCCTCCGTCATGCTCCGGGAGATGATGTTACGGATGACTTTGCTTCCATTGTCGCCAAGCTGTGGACTGGCGCTGGCGCCATGCCCTTGCTCGACAACCGCGCGCGAAAGACCATCGATCACCAAATCCGCGGACGCTTCAATCATCGCTTGCCGTACTTTTTCAGTTGGGCCGGGGTTTCCGTATGGCACATGAGGGTCGGCAAAGCTGAGCAGCGTTTGCGTGTCTCCATTGGTGATGTAGTCGCCGAGGTCCTGGATGTCTTGGGTCGAAAAGGATCTTGGATGCATGTTTGATCGCGTCCAGGTCGCTCTCCACGTGCCTGGTTGGAAGGCTTCGTCATGATCAACGAAATTCCCAACTTCAGTAATCGTACTGATGAACGAGACCGAGGCGGTCATGCAGGGCGTAGCAGCCACAATGTAGAGGTGTGGCTGCAGATCTGGACACAGCTTTAGGATATGCTGTGCGAGGGTCTCACGCGAGATACCTAGCGCTTGCATGAGGAACGTCAGGAAACGATAATCGTCCGAATCTCCTCTCTTGGGATCTTCATGGCATTGATTGCGAAGCACATCAACGAGCAGCTCGACGGGTGCTTTGTTGTAGTCAGGCACAATCCTCTCTCCACGACCAGTTGATGCAACTCCCAGAAACCCATAGACTCTGTCGTACACTACAGAGCTCTCCGACAACGCAAAGGCTTGTAAGAGATCGCGCAAGCGAAATGTCGACTTCAGGGTCTTGCTGTTGCGGCGACCGAGCATCTCCCTCCGGTATTGCTTCGTGCGTTTGAAGTCTTTCCGGTACTTGAACAGCAGATAGCCGCGACTTGTATAGATGACGCTCGTTGGGGATGCGACTGGTGTGGACGCAAGGCCATTGCGCCAGATGCCTTCGACTGTCGCAGCACCCACACTGAGGTCACCACACCAAATGTCGACCGACTGTGCCAGCACGAACTCCTGAACCACCCACACCCGACTCCAATACGGCTTGTTGAGGACATTCGCCAGAGCATTGTGAAACTCTTCAACTCTGAGAAGGTCAGGATGCCGCGCAAGCATGAAGGCCAACTCCTCGTATCCCTGGGGAAGTCCGAGCCACACTATGACAGATTGCGCTCCAGTGTATACATCGCGCATGAGCGACACTTGATGATTGCGCTCCGGTATGTTGCTCTGGTCGATGGCGATGGCGTCAATCCAGAGGGGTATCGCCTTGCCCGGATCCTTCTCGCAACACTGTCGAAGGTACTGCTTCCTGCGGTATTGCTTAATGAAGTTCCACAAGCTCTCTCCCACGGCGAACTTCGATCCTTGGATGTCGATGTACTTCTTCTCGCCAGCCTTGTCCCACATGTAAGATAGTGCGATGAAGGTAGGCTTATCGTCCAGGTCGCAGACCGATAGTGTTGCCTGGATGGGCTCATGTTCAGGTGCGAGCAGTATTTCCAAAAGCCTGACGCTCTTCTTATTTGGGTCTAGAGAGCCATACTGGAGTAAGGGTAAGGCTGCCAATGGGTCATCCTGGTCGGGTGTTGCCGGCGGACTACCGGGCGCGGTAGTGGGTGCGGAGGACTTGCGCCGCAGCTTTTGCAGCCGAAAAGGATCAACAAAGGTCTTCTTAAGTATACTCTGAGTCGTCCGCTCCGGTGCGGCCATGATCTTGTAGAGTGCACAAATGCGACGATGTGGCAACAGAAGCCTTAGCGGGTCTCATCAGTGGTAAGGCTGAGATGCGAGTGGAGAAAGAATGCGGCGCAAGAGAACCTTCCTTGTCCAGGCCATCGTTAAACGTCGCGTGATCAAGGATACAGCCCGACAATAAGAGCTTTCAACGATGACCAGCGAGTAGGCGTTGATGTGGCTTGCAGCACGGTGCCTAGACGTTGGATGTCTGAGGCCAGAAGTTCGTCCGAGAGACCTCGGGATTCTTTGGCGACGCTGACTAAGCATGCATAAATGGGTGGTGTGGGGGCCAAAAGCGTTCCAAGGTTCCCAGCCCCCAGAATTCCTTCCGTCATCATCATCATCATCTGCGGGAAGAGTACCCAACCGAGCAAACCAATATTTGGGCCCATGCTATGGCTAGTTTGAAAATCGCGCCAGCACGCGATTGCCCATTGCCTCGTCGACGACGGCGTCGCATCCTCGTAGTCTAGAGGCATATACTACGCGATAGTCACAGCAACGACAGCTTCTGCGGCACCACGACATCATCTTCAGCTATTCTCCATCGATGAAAGCGATATACCAAATCGAATGGTCTGCCCGCACTCGTGAGGTCAGACGCCGAGCTACCTGGGTGATGATTAACAAGGTCAGTTCCGTTGTTTTGCCATTCGATATCCTCGTGATCGCTCTTGCGCGACCGAATCGTAATGATGCCTACGAAGAGCTTGCGATAATCGATGATAATGTCGTCAATCGTTTACGGGCGCATGAGTCGAGGAAGCTACTACTACTACTGCGTCTATTCCAGCCCGTTCTGATGAGTCGAGGAAGCAAAGGTGACGTGACGGCACGAACGCTCGATCACATAGGAAGACCTCAAGCCGGGTACCTCGATGAGTTGATCATCTCGGTAGTGTTGTTCTTCGCTGGTTGAGATGCATCCCTACTGGCTTGATGCATACCGATACTACAGCCATGTCCAGATCGCTCGGTAATCTCCAAGACCAGGCGAATCGCAGCACACGTATTCGACACTCAACAGCCTATATATGCTGCACTCATCGTCCTCAACATTTCGCACCTGTCTCATTTCGCAGCCTTGGGGATCCGTCAGCTCTCCACCAACCCTTTACCACGTATTACCGACTGTCATCTATCCAGAACCCAGTCGGATGTATCGCAACGAGCCCAGCACTTCGCGTATATGCTTCGAACGCGGGATAGACATTGACTCCATGTGTTTTAGATTCCTGCAAAGCTGCACTATATCCGGAGTGGAGATGAAATCGGTATCGAGCGTCCTCGAAGGAGCAGACTTACAGGAAAAAGGTCGTTAAAGACATGCGCGAAAGCCCTCGACTGGCATCAATCCTCAGAAACGTACTCTTCGCATACCTTCCCGAACGAGAAGATGAAGTGTTCTAGTCTCGTCCTCGGCGTTCTCGCAACACTTGCGGCTGCACAAACACCATCCCCGTACACCGATACCAAATCAGGCATTACATTCAATAACCTCCAGCACAGTAGCGGCATGTTCTTCGGTCTTGCACTTCCAGCCAACGCCACTGGAAACACTGACTTCATCGCGACGATCGGGGGTAAAGGCACGGGGTGGAGCGGTGTTTCTCTCGGAGGTGGGATGCTCAACAAGCTCTTGATCGTCGCTTGGCCAAACACTCAAACTGTAGTGGGCAGCTTTAGGAAGACTGCGTTCGTTCAAGCTGAACGACTGAACCAACAAGGCCATGCTAACAGCCAACAGGCAATACGCCTCTCCAGCCGTCGCAACCGGCGCCTTCACACAAACTACAATAGCAAACGGCACATACGTCAACAGCACGCACTGGACCTACACATTCCTCTGTTCCAAGTGCATTCAGACCGACGGCACAACGTTCAAGCCCACTGACCCAGCACCAAGTCTCGGGTTCGCATTCAATCCGACAGCGCCGGTCCAAAAGACGAATCCCGCTTCTAGTGTATCAAAGCATACGGCGCAGGGGCAAGCGGTATTTGACCTAAGCGGAGCTAAGAGCGCGAACTTCGAGGTCTGGAAGGGCTACGCTGTGCCGAAAGTCGCTACGGGCTTTGCGGGCTAGGTAGTGCGACGGCTAAATGGGGTTGAATGCGAAAGGGAGTTGGGGCTGTCAGATTGGTACTGCGGACGTGGTCTTGGGATTCCGGCACCGTTGAGTGCGTACGTATAATTGTGATTGTTCTCGCAGCTTTTCTTGTTGGGTCATGCATGTCATTTCACTGTTTCCAAGCATGCGGTTCAAGATCTACCGCTTCGTGCCTGATCACCCTTCCCGTCTTTAGCCTGATTGCAGCGAACGAACTGTGCGGGGGTGACCGTGCACACGAAGCACTAGAGTCTAGTTGAAGAATCTCTGGCGCATGCGCTTCTGGAGGGAACTATCAGTTCATAGCTAGTTCGGTCGTGTTGACGATCAGATGCAGGGGACTAGAACAACCACAGGTGACGTAGACGAGAAAGGCGGTCATGTAACATCACAGGCGCGATGGTCATATAGGTAAATTTGATGGCATCAAGGAAAGTGTGTGGTTCTATTCTGCACTACAGTCTACTTCTACCAACGAAAGAAACTTCTGAAAGTAGGAAGGCCAAAAGGATTGAGAATGTCGAAAGCGTTACGGGCTTTGATCAAATCTGCTCCCTTCTCTGCGACAGCGTACATGGTCGCCTGCAAGTGTGTCGCGGGGATCAACGGGATAATACTCGCGTCTACGATGCTGAGGCCCTTCACACCATGCACAGTCAGGTCGCTACCCACGCACCCGCCGAGCGACTCCGGCATCATTGCGCAGCTACCAGACATGTGTGCAAAGGAAGCCTGGAGAGCCTTTTGTTGAACCAGGTCATTGATGATCTCATCGTCGGTCTGTGCCTGAGTTCCAGGCGTGAGCTCGACTGGAGAGAACTTCTTGAGCTCAGGGTTTGCCCAGTGCTTGCGCGTCCATCGGACCATTCCAGCGATTATCTGGCGATCGACAGGGTTTTGGAGGGCGTTGAACTGGACAACGGGGTTGCCGTATTTGTTGCTTGGGTTGATGGTGACGGTGCCGCGAGAGAGGGGGCGTTGCAGGGAGCTGATGGCGAGACCGAAGGGTACCATGGGGAACTCGCCAACAGCGGCGTCGGCACTACTATGGAGACCAGCGATGATGTCGCGTTGCTTGGTGAAGCCGCGTAGCAGAGAGGAGTCGTCGTATACCGATGGAAGGTAGCTACGGACGTTCTGTGACTTGACAGTCTGCACAATCTGGTTCCAGTTGTCGCAGACTGTCTGCAGACTGAGGAAGGCTAGGCTGCTGCCGTGGGCTTGCGTGAGGGGACCGCTCCTGCTGGTGTCGTACTCTGACCATACTGTAGCGTTATAAGTGGGGTCTGCGCCGCTGTAGATGTTGGGAAATGCCAGGTTCTTGAGGTCGAACACCATGTTGGCGTTGGGGTGGTCTTGCATGTTGGCGCCAACAGCAGGCATGTTCTTCTTCACGTTAATACCTGCAGCTTTAAGCACGCTGCTTGGTCCAATGCCGCTGAGCTGAAGAATCTGTGGTGTGAAGATTGAGCCCGCAGCCATGATGACCTCTCGCTCTGCATAGACTTGCTTGACCGAGCCATCCGTCCGCGATTTGAATTGGACACCATTGGCTGTGTATCCAGTGAAAACGCCCTTGTCGAAGAGGACCTCATTGACAGTCTTTCCGGTGACGAGTACAAGGTTGCTGCGGGTCTTGACAGGGTCGTAGTACTCGTTCTTCGCATGAGATCGTGTCTGAGTCTTTGGTCGCAGAGCTGTAGGTATCCAGAAAGCACCCACTGCCCTCCCTGAAGCATGCTCTCTGGGCAAAGGCACGCCTGATTGCTTGTATGCTGCCCAGATGGTCTTTGTGTCTTCGTACTCGAAGTTTGGGAACGATGCTTGTATCGGCCCGTTGGTGCCATAGTACGATGCGTCATACGTAGTGCCAAAGCTCTTCACGTTGTTCGATGTTGGTGGCGTGAATGTGGTCGACTTCTTGAAGTAGTATAAGAGGCTGTTGAAGTTCCAGCCGGCGTTACCAAGTTGCTCCCACGCATTGTAGTCGGCGGCAGATGCTCGGTCAAAGGCCATGCCGTTGACTACAGATCCACCACCAACAACGTTACCCACCCAGACAGGATGAGTACCGCCTGTGTTTGTGTCATATGCAGACGTGATGTCGTACATGAGATTGGCGTTGACACTGTTGGCAAAGCTAGGTACTTGAGTGGTCACATCGTCGACGACATACCCATTTTCGATCACGAGAACAGTACCTGAAGATGTTAGGTCTATGTGTCAACGCCGAATGTGGTTACTCACGGCTTGAATCTTCGCTGAGGCGGTTGGCAACTGTCAGGCCTGTCAACCCGCCACCAACGATGATGTAGTCGAACGATTGCCCTCCAACATCTGGCTCGCCGCTGCTGCTACCCGGAGAGGACGGGTCCAACACACGCGGCACGAAAGAAGCGAGGTAGAAAATGCCCCCAAGAAGAAGAGCCATATTAGAAATTATCAACAGAAAGAGTGTATGAGCACCAGACGAATGGCGCAAGGGTGAGTGGTGCGTCCAGAGCTAAGATTACGGATCGTCGAAGGTTTATACCAGCACTGATCCGTTTGTCAGATAGCTGACGGACGGGCCACCCCTGAGTACGCGAAGCTACTGAAGTGTTTCGCTTGCGAATAAACGAGCTTCGGCATGCCATGGCAGTTCTATACTACCCGCTGGGCGTTGCGTAACGACTTTTTCTCGTGGAGTAACTGGCGCTCAAAGGTACCAGACTCTGCATTGCTCAATGAAGCATGTTGCCCGGGTTCTTGGATCGATTCTGCACGGGAACAACGTAGAGATCCGCAAACCTTGCTGAAAAGTATAACCGTAGTCGACTAGAAACGGTAAGCCTAATGATCCTGTCAATCTGCCCGGCTATCGACAAGCCTAGAGCTGCAGTCATCGATATCTGGCAAGTACAGCTAACGTGGCGTCGACTATCAGCTCCCGCCGTAACAACCACGTGCATCGTCGTATGACGTGCGCCACGCGAGCTGATGAGGAGGTTTTACCCTGGATGGTGCAGCGCTTTGTCCTGCGAACCACATAGTAGTCGATAGTTCAAAGGGCGAGACCGACGGTGTGGTGATGGCGAAGCGGCGGCCCCTGGTACAACCGCGGGAATGCAGGGGCCACGGCTGTCATGTTGCAAGAGCCGTACTGGTGAAAATCTCCATCGTCCTCATCCTGCTGTCGCGCTGCTGCGGGTCGTCATTAGGTCGATTGTTATGCTTTGGCGTACGAGTGTTTAGGTTTTGCAGTCGTCTAGATTATCGGTGGCGGCCGGAGATGGCTCAATCGGGAATGGCGCGCTCCTGTCTGACACTAGCTACACAAAGACAGAAACCTGGCGGCATCACTAACTTCACGAGCTCAGCAACCGTCGCTTGTCAATCTTTCCTGCTGCGGGCACCCACGTTGTACTAGAATTATTGCGGTAGCGAAGAGCGAGCAACAGGCCGGTTCTGTCGCGCCCGTTCGGCCCGTTCACTGAATATGACATCGTCACAGAGACTTCGCGTCGGCTGCTCGCGTTGAAGAGTGCAAGCGGTATCCGATGCGCTCGAACTGATGGACACTCGATATTCTCGCTGCGTGCTCACTCCGCCTCCGTGGCTCAGCCATACTAATCGACAAGGCCGTTTCAAGCCTAATGGCCTGGCATCTGCGCCCGCCTGAGCTAAACCTTCGTGCAACGGCGCGCATCATAACCTTTTAGCCCATGCCACGACGGCTAACCGAGTGACAGATGTCGTGCTTGCTGGCTCCGCTCATAACTCACGATGAACCTAATCTCGGGGCTGTGGGTTAGCAGCATGCAAGAGTTTGGTCGGGTGTGTTTCCAGAAGACAAATTGGGAGTGGCTGTGGAAGGTCTCCCGACCGTGCGCTTCTGGTTCTTTCAGGGCTTGCGCAAGAGGAAGAGGAGATATGTTTGATCTGCAGAGCCTTGCGGCTCGGCTGCCTCCTTCAAGCTGATCAGTGGAGATCTGGACCACGATGTCCGAGCATGAACGCATCCTGACTAACGACCTGCCACGATGATGTGCGCTAGTCCTCGGCGCACAGTCGTAAGAATAGGGTTTAACCGCCTCCTGCATGCTTCGTTGCGTCTTACGGGATTGGCTGAGTTTGACATCGGTCGGCCACTCCGCCGTTTATGTCTGGCTATCTGCAGAACGTTAACAGAGCAATTATAACAGCACGTCCACCCGGCCCGTTGCTGCATCAGCCTGCATAGCATTTCAGGTGATCAGCAGAAGCTCATTTCGAGGAGAGGTCTCCGGTCAGCCAATTTCATTGGGCATCTTTATCTTTCCGTGTCTCATCCTCTTTACATTCTCCCATTCGCAATGGGTGTACCCACAACACCGGAGGGACTTCCTTTGGACGACCGCTCCAATGCGCTCAAGATACCCATCATCACCTTGATCATCTTCAGCTCGATATTCGTTCTACTCCGCTTGGGCATAAACTGGAAGAACAGGAATTACTTCCTACTAACCGACCATCTGCTATGGACGGGACAAGTAAGTGGCGATCAAATAAGAGTTCCAAGCATTTGCTAATCAGCTTCAGGTTATAGCTGTCGCAGGCGCAGCATGCTGTTACAAGATGGCTGAAGTTGGAGGCGGCAGGCACGTCTGGGACCCGATATTGACACCTCAAAACATGGAGACGTACCTCTACATGCTCTGGCTGGGTCAGCTGCTTAACCTATACGGTATGGCTTTGATCAAGCTGAGTGTCTGCGCCTACATCTTCATGCTGGACTTTTCGCGAACCTTCCGGATTATCATATGGCTTTCCGTTGTGATCCATATCGGCGTCAACGTCGTCTTCCCTACCGTCATTCTGTTCGGCGAGTGCACGCCATACACCAAGCATTGGGACGTCTCCGGAATGAAACCTGGGTCTTGCTGGGACGCGAAGCCGCGTGTCATCTCCGGATACTCGGGTGCTGCAGTCAACATAGCGACTGATCTGCTCTACACCATGGCCCCGCTCATCTACATTGCGAGGGTGCAACTTCCCAAGCGAACCATCTGGGGCGTCCGCGCAGTGTTCCTCTGCGGTCTCATGTAGGTAGCCCTCTTGACACCCCGATTTCGTCACTAACACTTTCAAGCACAACCACTATATCCGCACTGAAACTCTACGAGATGAAGTCTTTGAACGAATCGCCAGATCCAACCTACTCGTCCGTCAACCTAAGCGTTTTCGCCATCGCTGAAGTTTTCGTTGGCGCTTTCACAGCCTCGCTGCCGCCGCTACGCAAAACATTCGAGAACGGTCTCCGCAAAGTGCTTCCAACCAGTCTCACAGGAGGATCAGGCAAGGGATCAAGACAAAGCTATGCGCTCCAGGTGTCAGGGCCTCAGGTCAGCGGGAAGTCGTCAAGGCCAAAGCACGAGACGGACGACGACAGTGAGCTCGGCATACTGCCAGATGAGGCGAGCCATGAGCGAAAAGGCTCCGAGGGAGCGATCATGAAGACCACACATGTCAGTGTGACAGCCGACAACAAGAGTATAGCGTCGCGCGACCATACTGAGTGGGCTTAAACGCTTCTCTACACAGAAGCACATAGTAATGATAATGAATTAATGATCTTCAAACCATCCTGCTACCCATTACCGGGAATGCATTCCCGCACCGTTGCGTACTCACGGACATATTCCCGCCCCATGGTCATCATGATCACTGTCAGGGGCTGTGCCGCAGATCCCTGTCTCACATCTAGCCGAGGTACATGCGTTGATCAGCAACCTCATCTGCACCACATCACCTCTCATCAACATGTCGAAGCCGTCGAAACCATATCGTCGCGATCTTCAGTTCCGTGGCTTCGCTGAGGGCCTGACGTACCTCAGCAGCGACGGCCAAGCCCAGTGTCATTATTTCGGCGGCGTCCCGTACGCCCTCCCACCCGTCGGCCCCTTTCGCTTCCAAAAGCCACGATCCCTACCACCATGCTACCGCTACGGCACAAAAGCGAACCCAGGACGATACACAGGCGGCTGTGGATTATGCCCGCAGCCCGGCTCCAACACGGAAACCCTTGACGAGCCCACCTGGGACGAAGATTGTTTGCAAACCAACATCTGGATTCCAGCCGGGCCATCGCCAGCAGAAGGTATGTCCCTGACTCTACGCGACCTCAACCAATTGAAAGCTGACTCGGGGAGGTTGGCCGGTACTATTCTGGATCCGTAAGTAATCATTTCCTCCTCCTTCGCACTCGTAACTTCCTAGTGCTTGGCATCGCCGTTTCACGGCAGACAGCATTCGAGGCAGATCTTCGGGGCGCACATTGGCACGGGATATAAACTCTGGCACCACGTGGTAGATCCGCACTAACACGCCCTAGACGGCGGGTTCCTGCAATGGGGTAGCCCGAACGGACTCGACCTCCGCGCGCTACTCAGCGAGTCCCCCGTGCAATGCGTCGTCGTGGCTCCCGCGTACCGCCTAAACGTATTCGGGTTTCTCGCATCCAAAGAGCTGATCGACTCGTGTCCTCCTTGTGATGGTTTTGGCGTTAATCTTGGCTTCTGGGATCAGCGCATGGCTTTGCAGTGGACGTATGAGAATGTCAGCTATTTTGGCGGGAACGCGGCGAATATTACTGTCGGGGGTTACTCGGCGGGTTCGCACTCGGTGTTCCATCAGCTGTCGTACGATCTCGGTTGCGCGGATGGGAAGGCGGTTGTTAAGAGGGCGGTGATGCTGTCGAATGGGCCGGGTATGCAACCGAAGAGTTTGGTAGAGGCGCAGGACCAGTTTGACGAGCTATTGAGGGCGCTGGGTATCGATTTGGTGAAGTCGCCGGCTGAGAAGTTGGCACGGCTTCGTGAGTTGAGTCCAAGGGCGATTGTGGAAGCGAGTAACGGGATCAAGCTGCATCAGTTCCGCGCTGTTACTGATGGGGAGTTTGTGCGGCATGGGCTTCTCGAAGAGCTGTCGAATGGTGTTTATGCGGAGCGCATGAAACGCCGCAACGTTAAGCTCATTATTGGCGAATGCAGCGACGAGCATCATGTCTACGGTCTTTGGCGACCACCTAGACCGGGCTTCGACGATATGTTGAACCGTCTTGAAGCTGACTACCCTCGCGAGGCATGCAAGGTGTTGATGTCGCACTACTTCCCTAATCGCAAACTGCCGTCAAAGTACTCGAGCTGGCAGGCGGCTTTCGGTCACATCTACGCTGATGTTCAGATTCACGCATTGCGTCGCGGAATGGTTAATGCGTTGATGAAGCATGGGGCGGGAGATCTCATCCATAGATACCGTATCGAATGGCGAGCGCAGTGTGTTGATAAGGAACTACCTAAGCACTTTGGTGCAAGTCACGGCTCCGACATGGCGATATGGTTCTGGGGTAATGGAAGCGACCTGACTGAGGGGGAGAAGCAGATCGCGTTGAAGACATTCCACGAACCACTGAGCAGGTTCTTGAAGGGCGAAGAGATTGATTGGGGTACGCAGCATGCGATGCAATTGAGGACACTGAAGAGCAATGGGAATGTTGCTATCGAAGAAGACATTCGACTGGAGGAAGGGTTGAGACTGTGGAATGCACTGAAGACGGCTGGCGCTACTGGCGACCCGAAGGATACTGCAAAGTTGTAATGGTAGGATGTTGTTATATTGTGAACAAAATAGAACCTTGGAATTGTCTCTACAATCTTCAGAAAGCGCGGCAAACCTTTTTTTAACCTACTACCCAATTAGGAATGTTTAGCACAAGTGTAGATTATAGCGAGGTGTCTTCAGGCTCTTGCACGTCGTAGAAGGCCTGCTCGACCTTGCTGTCGCCGTGGTGAGGTTTACCATGTCCGCCCTGGCAGCTGCTCTGCTGATACTCGTTACCCGCGGAACTGATTCCGAAGATATGACTTCGCCTCGGCAACAGCGTCCACATCTCAGATGCTCAACTTTTCGTTTTCTAATCTTCAAGTAACGACTCACCATACTAGCCGTATAGCCTAACACTACTAGATCACGCTTGTCAGCTTCTTCTTCATGGGTGCGGAAGGGAGGAGCAACAGAGGTGGTCCTGGATGTCCTCCACAGATCTTACATAGGTAACAGATCTATCATCTCGAACAACACACATCCCTCGTCCAGCAATCCCAGAACCCTAGGATTTACTCTCACCCCCCTCCTCTTCCCCATCCCCCTCCAGCCTAAACACCTTATCCGGATTCAAAATCCCCCTCGGATCTAAACTCCGCTTAATCCCCCTCATCACCTCGACACCCTCGCTCCCCACCTCCTCCTCCAGCGCATCCCTCAGCTTCATCCCCACACCATGCTCGCCCGTAACCGTGCCCTCCAAGCTAAGCGCCAGCCTCGCGATATCCATGATCACACTTATCGCGGCGTCGTAGTGCTCTTGTGGGCACACGATGCTGGAGTGCACGTTGCCATCTCCGATGTGGCCTACGTTGGCACAGAACCAATCCGCTTGGTTAGCGGTTGAGGCTTGGGAGATGAGTTCCTGGGTTCCAGCGACGAGGCGAGAGAGATTCGAAATAGGGACTGCGCAGTCGCTGTGTAAGAAAAGATCCGTATCCTTCTTCTTCATAGCAAGGAGAGCCGTGCCCATACATTTCCTCGCTCCCCAGATTGCACCCACCGCGCCCTCCTCATTCGTGATCTCAACATGCGATGCGCCGTGTGTTTTACACAGCTCTCGCATGACACCAACCTGGTCTTGCACACTATCCATCGACGGCCCCGCAATCTTGAAAAACAGCGTCGGCACCTCTTCAAACCTGCGCGCAGGCGCAAGACCAGACACATTTACACACCGCATCTGCGGCCCATCCGCCAACTCCAACGCCTCAAGCCGATGACCCAGTTTCTGCAGGCTCACAACCACATCGACACCTTCTTGGAACGTCTTGAAAGTAGCAAGCCCAACATGCAAATTCCGCGGTATCGGCGCAAGACGCAGCACCGCTTCCGTGACGAGCGCAAGGGTACCTTCAGATCCGATGATCAAGTGTGTGAGATCGTATCCCGCGGATGTTTTCCGGGGTCTGTTGTGTGTTTTAATGATGGCGCCGGAGGCGAGGACGCAGGTTAGTGAGATGACGTTTTCGGGCATGGTGCCGTAGTTGTAGGCGTTTGTTCCGGAGCAGGACATTGCTATCTACCTCGCTGTCAGTATATCACCCCATGACCATCTCCTTTTGCTACGGATGGAGACGTACCATACCACCTATCCTCGCCCCCGGCGCAGGATCAACAGGAAAGAACAACCCCCTCCCCTCCAACGCTTCATTCAACTCCACCCACCCCACCCCCGGCTGCACAACAACATCCATATCATCCTCATTCACCTTCACCACCCCCCTCATCTTCTCAAAACTCACACATACGCCCCCCCTTACATTTCCCAGCGCCTGTCCGAAGCTCGTGCCGCCGGAAAACGGTGTCACGGCTATACGTCGCTCGTTGCATGCTTTTAGCACAATGGATGTTTCGAGAGTGGTTTGGGGGAAGAAGACTATTAGGGGTGTGTGGGTGGGGGGTGCGGGGGACCAGGGGGTGTTTGATTTGGCCGAGCGGGTGGAGAGGTCGAGGGTGTGAGTGATGTTGTGGGTGGTGAGGGAGGAGAGGAGGGAGTGGATGTTGGGGGTGGAATGGTCGTAGGTGGGTGGTGGCATGATGACAAGAATGGTGAGGCAGGGGTCGAACAGGGTTTAGTGAGGATAGGCTATGTTGCTAGTCCTAGATGTCTTCACATAAGAAATGGAAACTAGGACGTTGGAGTATCCGTGTCGAGACGGAGACGTGGTTGCCGAGGCGAAGTTATGCTTCGGAATGAGTTCCGCGGGTAAAGACTCAGCACAACACGTCCAGTTCTTCCATCTCATGCACGATAAACATGCCATTCCTGCTTTTACTTCTGAAGATGTTCTAATAACACCATTCCCATCGACAGCCTATGCATCTGAAGTCGCATACCTTAGGCCCCCTCTCAAAAGTGTCGCATTTGTCCCGCGTAGGACGTGCTCCAGCTCCATCCCTCCTGAACACCCAGCCTCAAGAAGTCCCGTCCCATCTCCCCCTCCCCCGCTCCATTCCACCTCTGCCCATCCCAGCCATTCTGCCTAGCCCAAGCCCGCCAGTCCGCCATCTCTTCCTCACTCTGATAAACCTCCGGTCCACGCAGAAAATCTTCCTAGTCCTTCTTTTTACTCCTCAGTGCCTCTTTTCTAAGCCACTCAGCCCAGATACCCAGGTCATCTGCTGCATCCAGTGCTTTAGCTAGTATTTTCAGTTTCCGATCAAGTTGCTCTGATTGAAATTGTGTTTCGTCACTGGAGGAAGCTTGGTTGGCGTGGATATTGGCGTGGATGTTCTGCTCGACGACAACGAGCTCGCCGTTGGGGTGGATGTCGATTGTGACGGCGAGGGGCGCGTTGTATGTTATTGGTGTGGAGACGGGGGTGGAGGTGGAGGAGAGGAGGTTGGAGATGAGGTCTGCTACGTCGGGGGAAGATGTTATGGCTTCGGGGTGGGGGACGTGCAGGGTGAAGCGTGGTGTGGGCGGATTGTAGCTTAGGGTGACGTCGAGTTGAAGGCGAGGTAGGTCTCCCTGCGCAGATGTCTGCGGTGCAGCTTTTGGTGTAGATTGCTGGCCGAGCTTGTGGGTCGGAACGGGTTTTTCGGGTGCGAGGTAAAAGCAGTCTCGTATGAGTGATGTGACATGCGCGTACTGTCTTAGCACGGGTAGCATCTCAACGAGTTGCTTGGGATGGCTGAATGGCAGGCTTTCTAGCGTGCGGCTGTACTCTAGCTTGGGTATGTAGAGACTCATGTCGTGTCGCCTGTCCAAGTCGTTTCCCGATGCGTCTTGCTCTAGTACTAGAACCTTTCGCGAGCTGCGTATCTCGTGGGTACGGTCGCCGGTTGTGTTGGACATGCCTGGGTCTACCTCGCCTGGCCTCAGAGCCAGGCCTGCGAATGTGGTCGGTCGGAAGTCGTCGGTGCGAGGCTCAATGCCAACGATCTGGTATAGCTGCATGTGCACAGCGAGCGGTACGACGAGAGGGGGGTTGAACTTGGCGACGAAGCGAACGTTTGGGAGTCGTCCAGCTGCCGAGTCGAGGTTCATGGCATCGTCGGTCTGCTCGGGGGGTTCGAGGTAGGTCGGCTTTGGGTCCAGCCAGTCTATCGAAGATGCGTTCATTAGCATGTTGTCTAGGGAGACATTTGCGTCTGCGTCGGCTGACTTCTCCACAGCGTCGCTGATCCAGTCGTCGGAGATACGGATGGGCGTGTAGAGGGTGGACGGCGAAGATTCGCATTCGATGGTCAGTGAATACATCTTGTTGCGACTCCAGCGATGGTCTTCCGGATACGAGGCAGACTCAGTCGGCCCATCCATCTGCAACCGTCCATCCATCCAGTATTCCAAACTCAGACCGAGACACGATCCGCCGTTGAGCCTGGGTCGTCCGCTCTTCTTGCACAGCACTTCGCGCTCGGCCCTGTATGTCCTGAACCGCTCATCCGGCTTCCTATTTGCGAGCTCCGTCTTCTTTTCATGCTCAAACAATTTTCGAAGGCTCGTGTAGACTCCCGCGATCGCATTGTAGCAGCTGACCCCGCCGTTCTGCGGGGAGCCCAGCTTGTCGAGCGTCAGCAGCTTCTCCAAGCTCTCCGAGAAGCGCTCGAGCGTGACGTTCAGCTTGCTCTGGCCGGGCAGAGGCTTCAAGCTGCGCACGAGAATCTCAGAGCCCGTCGCGCCGAAGTTGAGGTCGGCTCTCGATTCGTCCAGGCCGGTCTGGAGATTGACGCTGACAATCTCGTCGTTCTTGAAGGTGACGTCGCACAGGGCCTCGTCTCCGATCAAGAGACTCCAGGTGCCTGCCTCGTCCATGTGCTTCTCGCACGGTATGTCCATCTTCTTGCAAAGGGCCAGCAGTCCCTGCTCGCTGACGCGTCCGGGCTTCTTGCCGATGATGTCTATGATCTCGCGCAGTCTGCGGCTTCGCTCTGCTTCGTCGGCGCGTCCCATGGCACTTGCGCTCATGCCCAAGCTGGACATGCCCAGCCCGCTCATGGTGATGCCCATGCCCACGCCTCCCATGCCCGAGCTCGCGACGTCGTTGAGCATGTTAAGCACCGCGGGCGAGTCGTACGACATCATGTTGATATTGCCCGAGGGAGGGACGCTGCGTGGGGCGGGCGAGGAGAAGGCATTGAGGTGTCGCGACGGGGTTTCTTTGTCTTTAGGCGTTGGCGTGGCCATGATGGCGTTGGTGAGTGCGCAAGGCACTGCGTGGATTAATTATGCAGTTGAGTGAGGGGTGGGTGTTACGATATCATGTTGCGTGCATATTCATGAAGCGAGGAGGAAAGGTGTTGCGCCCAAGGTCGCTCACGGTTGGTTGGCCTTGGCGTCCCAAGCAGGGCAGGACGCCCACCCCAACTCTACAAATGCATGCTGCCAAAGTACTAGATAAGTTTCCATGTGCAAAGCAAGAATATTTGCGCGGGGTATCATAACGCGACGCCTGGCCTAAGCCCAATAACCTGAACGCCAGCTCCATCTCCAGTGCTCCAACTCAGTCCAACTCGACCACATCGTCCTCGAGAATCTCACTGATCTTCCCCTTCGCCCTAGTCCCCGCAGCTCTCCCTGTCTTCTTCTTAGGCGCAGCCTTCTTGGTCCTAGCTTCTTGCAGCAAGAGCTCATTGAAGATGTCCTCGACCCCTTCCTCATTGTTGTACTCAATCGCCCTAACCCGTTTCTTGGGCCGCGGCTGCTGCGCTTCTTGCTCGTTGCGCTCCTTCGCCTCGACCTCCCAGCGCTTCCTTATCTCGTCTTCGGTCTTGTTCTCCATGGTGTGGAAGGAGGCGTGGTGGCCGCAGCCGTCGCATTCGTATGAGGATGACGACTGGAATCGATTAGCTAGTGTACCGGCGGCGTGAGGTATCCAGGCTTACCTTCAGCGGATGCAACATGAAGCGCAAACACGGGCATTTGGCGGCGAGCAGAGACGGCTTGTGATTGCATTGGCCGCGGGGAGGGACATAGTTCATCTGCGTCCAGACATTGGGTGCGTTGCCGGCCATGTCGATGAGGCAGTTGTAGATGGAGTAGAGGCGGTCAACGACCCGGGTTGATCAAAGCGCGAGGTCGTCCATCGCATAGTGTTCACTGAGTGCACAGGTAGAGGTCGGGCTGCGCGCAAACGCCAAATTGACTCGAATTCACGTGCTTCGACTAGCCGTAACCGCATTGGGAAAACCCCGCTCCGCAAACCGTCTGGCAACGTCATAGCTGTTGAACTCTGGCTTGCACACATGCGCAGTGTAGCATTCTCGAATAAACAGTAAAGCAAGTACATTGTTCTCAGTAAGCACTGGTCTCACGCCACAGCCGTGCGGCATAGTCGGCATCTTCGGCTCAAGCAAACATTCTAATTGTCAATCGGTCCGCATGGGTGTGAGAGTGTTTGATTTGGAATTGCCCCTCGTCCAAGCAAAGTATCATAACCCGACCAGAACTATGGCCAGACCTAGAACTGCCAATGACAACAAACATGCCCCTCAACCGTAAGCAGCATAAGCGGACGGCTTCCCTCTACCCGTCATGCGTCGGCGGCAGACCCTCGCGATTTGAACCGAATCAGGCCTCAGCGCTAGGCCAGTGGTGGGGAACTTGGATGCGTAGGGCGCTTCTTGTCCAAGTTGACGATCGATACAGCGGGGTAGGAACTCGAGTATAAAGCCCGAGGTGAAGGCAGTCCAACACGACACTTGCTCTTTTAACCTTCACAACCTAAACAACTCCACCAACCAACTTTCTACCCCACCAACTTATCAAGATGCCTGCCGGAGGATGCTTTTGCGGTAACGTCCGTTACGAGGTGCAGGGCGAGAGCGGAGGCAACGTGCGTGGTGTCGTAACAATTCTCCTTCTGTTGCTGATGCGATACACAGATCCTCTGCCACTGCCTTGACTGCCGCAAGATCACCGGATCCGCCTACTCAACCAACGCCGTCTACTCGGACGAGGGCTTCAAGGTCACCAAGGGTACGCCAAAGGCACACACGGTCAAGGGCGACAGCGGAAACGATGTTACTTCCATGTTCTGGTATGTGTTCGCTACGGCATAGCGATATTCTGTTCTGACCTCGTGCAGCGGCGACTGTGGCTCGACCATGTGGCGCCAGGGTGACACCTTTGCCGGCAAGCGCATCATCAAGGTCGGAACTCTTGACGACACCAAGATCCTCGACAACATGTCGATGAACGCCGAGTTGTACGTCGACCACAGGCCGAAGTGGGTAGGCTCCCAGGAGAGCGCGGCGCAGAAGGCGGCCATGTAAGGATCGAGCGGTCGACGGTCGACGGTCGAGCGGTTGGGAGCGGGAAAGAGCAACCGGAATAAGGTTTATAGTGTTACGACTGAGCCAAAGGCCAGACATCTACTCAGAGTCCGAACTCTCTGGTTCCTTCAAGCGTTCTCTCATCATCTGTGACCGTCAGTAGTGACCACACCACATGAACACGACACCTACCTGGTTCAAACGGGCCTTGAGCTCATTGATCCTCGTTTCCTTGACCAGAATGTGCTCTTCGTCGAGCTCCTCGATGATGTATTCGTTGTTGTTCTTGCTGTCAATGTCCACCAGCATGGCTTTGATGGAAGCGTCGCATTTGACGAGCGTGCCTGCCAAGTCAGTATCGAAAGGGCTGGTGGGAGAAGGTGCGGCATACCTCTGATAGCTTTGACCATGTTGGAGAGTGGATGCGAGGTTGCGGGGTGCAGGTGGGCTGAAGTAGAAGACTGGACAACAGGGTGCGAGCGCGCAACTGACGCGATTGCTTGGCGCCATCATCTGCAAGCCAAAGCACGCCATTCCGATGCCTCCGCTGCATCACTTAACACTCCCACCTTGCAATGATAACGATATGCAGGGCTGTCAACCCAACGTCATTGCACGCTCCAGGGTGTCCAGCTTCATCATGATGAAGGCTGCAGACCTGTTCAATTTCTTCCTCGCATGAGATGCCACACAGAGATGGCTCCTTCGCGCCTCCTTCACCAGCTACTTGAAGAAGTAGCAAACGCTACGGACAATGCAGGCGATACAACCGCGAGCCGACCGTTCTTCACTGTCGCCTCGCCCATGCCCTAATCACTACCTTCGCCCTTCGTACAACAGTTTCACTGGGGCAACCTTACGAATGCTTCGCTATCTTCACCCGACACTCACACTACGCTCACTGTAGTTCAACCAACGCAATGGCTTATCTCAGTCTGCTCGCGGAAACGCCCTCGGCGGCTGCACCAAGCATCTTTCGCCGCGGCAACGACGACGACGCCGAACTGTCCCCAGAAGAACGCAATAACACCAGTTTCTACAAGTACTTTTACCTCCTTCTCGGCATGCTCGCGGGACTCATCCTCGTCGCAGCATGGCTTATCCGACGCCGCAAAGTCCGTCATCTGACGGTCCGGCGTCTGAACGGGCAGCCGGCATCGGCGAGAGACGTGGAAGCGTGGCCCGGTACACGGAGGCTGCTACACGGACGATGCAGGGCCACCAACTCTGTTCTGCTTCGCCCAACTGAGGGACTGGACGAGCGTGGAGAAGCGCCGCCACCCTATCAGCCTAAGTCGGAGACGACTTCTACGACTATCGCTATACCGCTTCAAACTCTTCGAGCAGACGGGAGCGAGCGATCATTGCCGCCGCAGTATAAAGCGCTGCCATGAAGGGGGTCGAGAAGTTTTCGTTTGACGGGTCGAGATGACGAACGAGATTGTATGCTCCATGCTCAGGTTTTCGTATCCATCTTGTCGCAGACAGGCGTCGTTGTACTCAGCAGGCGAAACCATGCCCCGCCCGACAAGAAGCTGCATAGCCTTCGCAAGACCCCCAGCGAAGATACAAGAACAGCGTTTATCCACAACAGCGATGGACAGTAAAGCAAACACTTGAACAAGAGATCAGAGACAACACTATCATCCATCACATCCCCCATAGCCTTAATCAGTAATTACAAACCACCACAATCAATACCACGATCAATACCACACTCCCATTCCTTTTTCTCTCCTCTGTATGCTAGCCCCTCACATTTGTCACTGCAAAGTCATCAACTCTAACACCACAAATACCACAAATTCGCCGTATGCATGCGTGAAATAGCGGCGGAGATCCGTTCGATGAGCTGCATACTGCAAGCCACAGCCATGGAAGTGGGGCAGAGCATCGCTAATGGAACGGACCCTTGTCGCTTGCTGCTTGTATGTACTCCGCCCGCTAATGCATCCGAGTTGACGCTTCCACGCGAATATTGTTGGTCTTTGTGAAGTTAATGTGTCGGAGATGGGGAGGTGGGAATGTTGAATGGCATGGACATGCTGATGCGAGGGATTTGGTTGCCGCTGTATACTTTCGAATGCAGATGGAGAGTGAGGAGATAGGTAGGTGATATTGCACCACCCCTTCCAAAACACATACTCAAATCTTCTAAACCCGCATTCCCAGCACATGCATCTGCATACCTCGTCCGAGCCAACTCCCACAGGCCCGAACAACCATAGCAACCACGCAGACGTCACAGGAGTTGTGTTATTCATCAACCCGTCAGCTTACCCCACTAGCCCGTTTCCGTGCCTTGCATGCATACCACCCCTCTACGCTTTTCCTCTTCGGGGAAAGCGTCATCATGGCGTAGAGGGGTGCGTATGACGCCATGCAGCATGGAGGGTTGGAGTAGATGGCTTTGTAATGGATTGCGAGTTTACACAAATACACATGTACCTGACTAGGCGGGAAAGGGGGAGATGTGTGGGAGGGTAGTGTTGGTGGCTTCATGCAGGTTGAGCTATGAGTGTACGGGTGCATTTTGCGATGCGATACCCGAGTTCGGGGCCGAGAGGACTTAGGATGGAGATTGGGGATGAAGATGATGATGGTGGACGTGGGTGTGGGTGTTGAGAGAGGTCAAGGTGGTATGGCGTTACTGGGTAAGTATTCGAATTGCTTGCTAAACATAGAGAGGGTTATGGCGTTGATACGTCCGGTCGTCCAGCTGTCCATTCACTTATACATTTACGCTGAGGATGTTTCTGACTACGGCCTCAACCGCCGTCCTTTTCGCGTGAACAAGCCGCTTATTCCAAAAAAAAAAGGAACTAAGCATACTGGTTTCCCGTACATATCTTCGATCTGTAGACACCTACTTCGGCGCCAATGTGCGGGACGTCTAGAACGCGCATGCGTGTA